TTGCCTCTGTATGCGTGTTTACGGGATCGTGAGTACACTAACGTTCACAAATATATTTCCATGTGATCTCGAAATTAGAAAATTTCAACAAAAATTATCGAATTATTAAAGCTCTCTCGTGAATTGAAAGGATAATTTATCGATATGCATGTACGTATACGTGGATAAAGGGGCGAGAGAGAGAGAGAGAGATATAAGCGATTAATTTAATTTTTGAGCGGGAGTGTACGTGATTCTGGAATAGAAAGATAAACAGGGATACTTTTGAAGCGCATTGTATGCGTGATTTCGTCTCACGTGTGCGTGCGTGGGGGCTGATTTCGCTTGTATACAAATACTCGCGCGCGCGCTACGGGATGCTGAACGCAAAATCAATAAGAAGCTTCGTGTCACGTTACACCGTGCACGTGGATTTGTGTATTATTTCAATTTAATACCGTTTCCTCGCGAGATTCGATTTTCTCTCTTTTGCCCACCTCTTTCGTTCTTCCTCTCTTTTCCGCGTTCAATCAACGATCGATGGTAAGAACGGGATTAATCGATTCAACGAAAAAAGTGGTTACACAAAGAGGAAGAAAGAAGTTAATTTGAATTCTCTTGTTACTTAGTTTACGAGTTTCGATTAGAATTAGAATGCGATGGGACTGAATTTTGAAACGAAGAGAGATGAAGGAAATAAGAACGAAAATAAGAAATGGAAGAAAATGAATTCATCTCACCAAGCGGGATCGACGGAAATACCAAACGACGCAAAGATTTCGACGCGAGATCTTCTCAACCCTTGCCTCGATCCAAGCTTCCTCAAAATTGAACTCTTCGAGTCTTGCAAATTCTTCCTCGATGCTTTTATATCGTTCCTTTTCTTCTTCCTCTTCGAATCGTCCACCTTTCTTCCGTTTACCATTTACATCGTTCGAGATTCGAGAATCTCGAACGGGAGAGGACGATGCCCCCTCCGAAGGAGGAGGAGGAGGAGGAGAAGGAGGAGGAAAACAATCGAGTTCACGCCCGAACTCGATTCGTTCTGGACCGTGAAATTCTCGTTTCGAAATCGTTTCGAGATATGATTTTTGATTCCTTTGCCCAGGTTGGAGAAGAGCGATACGATCGACGCACTTCCCCGCTGATTTTACTGCGTATCGGATGACGAGGCAGCCTATCGTGTCGACCTATCCTACGAGGGATGTCGTTACGGAATGATGCTTGGCCGCGAGACGGGGAGTGTTACCCTGTTTGGGCGCATGCGCGGACACCCCCTCCAAGAAGCTTGGATCGAGGCTGTCCTGGAAACGCCAAGTCTCTCCAGGACTCGATGAATAATCAAAGAGAACGGGTTGTTTTTGATTCTAAGTTACTGTTATTGTTGGAAAATTGTTTCTTTTTCGAATGGATTTTGGCATATGGAGAATTTGAAAATCGATTGTTTCGCATTGTTATTCGATTACAGATACGATTATTATAATTCGAGGAATTTGAATATTCGAATGTTAATAGGTTGAATTTAGTTTTCTCGAAAGATGCGAATTGTTATATTTAGAATCTTTTAGAAAGGTGAAGTAGAGAGCGGTAGTAGTCCTCGACTCGAAATGAAAAAGCAATTGGTGAAGAAGATATCGCTGGAGAATTCGGTAGCGTAGGTGTTTTCTTTGGAAGGGATAAATTGAAGATTTGAAGAGAGATTCAAAGGTTAAGCGTTTCAAAAATCAAGAACAATTTTCGTTCGAAAATTATAAATATAAAACTTACTTAACGACTTCCTTCGACGTATAAACATATATCACCTTGTTTATCGCTGCGCATTAATCTCTCGACGTATCGATCGAACGATAAAAACAACACGGATCGTAAAAAAATACGTAGACGTATAATTTTTATGGTACAATACAATATTTTACGGTAGCTTCTATAATCTTTTACATCTATTATTATTCTACCTACGTCATCTCTAGCATAGTGAGCGATTATTCGCTTTCAGCGTTTAAAAAACTTTAGAATATTTTCCTTCCCTCCGATAGATGTGGCGACGCATCATTTTTCCTCCATCCGTATTAAAGAAAAAGACCAAAAAAAAAAAAAGAAATTACCTTCCTTCCCCCCTATCGCCCATTCGTCTCCCCTTTCTCAAGCTTATACCCCTCGAGAATGGACCGCGTCGCGACAAAAATCTCTCCGCGAATTCGATCGAACAACTCGTCGAGACGTTGGTCGAAATTCGTCCCGAATCGAGATTGTACGACGCCTTAATCCTTGCGATAATTTTCTCTCTCGTTTCTTCTTGGTTGACCAGAATAAAAAGTACGCGATACTGCAACGCTCCAACGATCCATCCTCCCGAACGATTATACATATATTTTTATTTCGATCAACGTTCTTCCAACTTTTCTTCCATTCGTTCGAACGCAGCGCTTTACTTTCGCTGGTCGAGAAAAAAATTGGAATAACTAGAATCTGTAAATCTGTTTCGTCCCCAGAAACCGATTCCGAAAATTTGCCAAAATTTCGAAAATCCGTAACGTATCCATTGTATGTTGGTTAATTGGAGAGCGTCCGATCACATTTCAGTGGTGGCCGCCCCTGGGTTTTTCAACATCCGCTCGACTGGTCGCTCGAGTTGTTCGGTATCACGGTGTGGCAACCGCGTTTGTATCGCGATTGACGGGGCGACAGATCGTCCGAGTCTTGGATGTCGTTCACCACGGCCACCGTGTGCAGAGACTTCATCGACACTTTCTTGTTCGGCTCTTTGTAACCGGAGAAATTGGGCTTGGGCATCCAATTCGTGCCATACGATACGGGAAGTATCTCCCTTCGACGATCGTTGACGATGGCCGCGTCGGTGGAGATCTCGGATCGGCACTCGTCGCATATCGAGCTCGCCTCGCTGTCGTTGGGCACGTTGCTCTTCTTGTTCGCTACCGCGACAGGCTCGCCTTGCAGCCACGATTGCTGCAGGATGTGGCTTATCTTTCTGGAGGAGGGAGCACAAGAGATTTCTCAAACTCGATCGATTTTTCGAAACGAACGGATGGGACGTTACCTTTTGAGGTAAGAGTTGGCGTAACATTTCACCGTGGATATTCCGTCTCTTGCACCGGTCGCCAATTCCGTTGCGAGGTTCCACACTCGATTGGTGGAAACGGCGCAGCCTAGAACGATGACCGCGATCGACATCGAGATCAACCAGCTGATGAAACCGGCCGACATCACGGGTGGCTCCAGTGGGGGTGGATAGTACGAGGACCAAACTTGTTGCCACCATTGATAAGAGACGTCCCTGTATTCCGATTGCTGTGGAACGATATTAACGATTAATCTCCCTCTCTCTCTCTCTCTCTCAAATAATATTAATAA